CAACTGCTGGCCATTGGTTTACGGCAAGCATGTTAGGAATTGTGGGAGTTGAAGTCCAAAACACGTGGAGGGTCCAGGTTTGCCCATGCCTGCTGTAGGGGATCCTTCCCCTCCATGGCTTGCTGAGGCCCAAAGGCAGTGGGAGGGGCGCACCCTGCATGTCAATCAAAGAGATAAGAGTGGGATATAAGCCACCATCACCATCGTCATCTGGTCAACTTACAGTGGATTCCGAGGGCAATGAGGGCAGCCAGAAGAACCAGGGCAATTCCTGCAGTCCCCACGACTAGGAGCCAGGGCAGCCTCTTGGCACCTGCAAGAGAAGCCACGCCAGCATCAGAAAGGGGAAACAGGGGGGTCCCCCAAGGGTCATCTAGCCCCACCCCTTGCCCAAGCAGGAATCCCACAGTGCAGTGCCCATAGCAGGAGCATCTTAGGGTTCATCACCTCTTAGGACTCCTGCAGAAAATGGACCCTAAAACTCCTTTGGCTTTAGGGTGCCCGGCAGACTTCTTCTCCTGACGCCCCTATTCCTCATGGCTCTTGTTTTGGGGTGGCACCAGAGTTTGGAAACAACACTAAACAACAAAGCGTGGTGCCAAGAGAGCGTGGAGATGAAACCAAGGTGGGCAGCCCCAAAAGGATCAAACAGGCCATGGCCTTCCAAAAGGCAGCTTTGGCCACAAGGGCTGATGGGACATGGTGTCCAGCACCTGGCCATAGGGCTGGAGAGGTCAGAGGTGACACAGGTTGGGTGGGTTGGGTTGGGTGAGGGGAAGAGAAGGGGGTTCTCTTGGGGAAGCTCAAGGGAAGAAAAACAACCAGTTGGAGAAGGGATGTCCCCATGTGCCAGAAAATATAGAATCCTAGAGTTGGAAGAGACCTGGTGGGCCTTCATCCAGTCCAACCCCATTCTGCCAAGAAGCAGGAAAGTAACCTTCAAAAACCCCCTGACAGATAGCCACCCAGCTTCTGCTTTAAAACTTCCAAAGAAGGAGCCTCCACCACACTCCGGAGCAGGGAGTTCCACTGCTGAACGGCTCTCACAGCCAGGAAGTTCTTCCTCATAGAATCCTAGAATCAAAGAGTTGGAAGAGATCTCATGGGCCATCCAGTCCAACTCCATTCTGCCAAGAAGCAGGAAAGTAACCTTCAAATCCCCCCTGACAGATGGCCACCCAGCTTCTGCTTAAAAGCCTCCAAAGAAGGAGCCTCCACCACACTCCGGGGCAGGGAGTCCCACTGCTGAATGGCTCTCACAGTCAGGAAGTTCTTCCTCATGTTCAGGTGGAATCTCCTCTCTTGTA